ATTTATAGGTAGAATGCATTTGAATTTTCTGAACGGTTCATTCTATGCTGTGATTTCAATTTTGAGCAAAATACAAAGAGAATGAAGGATAAGGTTTATGTTACTCATTATACGTGCTTTTTGGAGTTAAAGCTCTTGGGAATTTTAACTTTATGTAGATTTATCAAATTAAACTATATGTAGACAAAGGATTCCAGTAAAGATCCAGACTTCCTTAAGGACATGTGTCCTAAAGGGGGGAAAACAACAGAGTGGAGATGTCTTGATTTTATTTTCAAACCAAGTTACTCTTATTTTGGCAATACAGAATTTTTCCTAAATGAGCCATAAGGCCCTGACATTGTGAACCTAAATGTTTAGTAGTAATACAAATAGTAGTAGCAACAGTCAATACTGATTTTATATTATGTGCCAATCACTATACTTTGTCTTAATCTTCGTAAGTCTCATGGTCCATCTATATTACAATTACGTGGGCAAGACAAGTGGGACAAGGAGAAATTGGCTGATTTTCTTAGCATCACAGAACGATGATTGCACAGATGGGATTGGTCTTAGTCTAGTCTACTGTTCCAGGTAAAGCAGATTTCAGGGTGATAATTGCTGGGATCAAGAATGAGAGACTGGGAAAGGATAAAAACATCAATTTAAGAACCTGTTATCAAGGAAAGGAACTATCTGGAGGCAGGGCAGTACGGAATGAGAAGGAAGGAGAGCAAAGCATAATAGTGCATATGTATGAAGATGTCATGGTCAAATCCATTACTTTCTGTGCTAACCTAAAAAGAATGATTCAAAAATGTTTGGATGGTGTTCTGAGGTGGGGCAGCAGAGGACTCCCTGACCCATGTACTGTATACTATGGGGGTAAGACAGCCATCTGTGAATCAGGAAGTGGCTCAGAGCTATGAGAAACTGAATCCTGACTGTTCCAACTTCCAGAGTGTGAGAAATAAATCTCTGTTGTGTATAATCCCCCTAAATAAATGAATAGAAAAGGTGATCATTGCCTTAGTAGGGCTCAATCACATCATGCCCTTCTAAAAAGATAGATGAAACTATTCTCAAGATTGCCCATGATAAGGTTAATAGGTATCTGCCCATTGGTTCCTATATCTCTTGATTTGAGTATTACCTTAGGGAACATTAATGCCTGACTATACACACACATACACACACACACACACACACACACACACACACACACACACACACACACCCATCATGTCTGTAAGTTACAACTAGATCCCTATGTTTTAGCAGTGAAAATTCTCAGAGAAAAATGTGCAGAGGAAAATCAAAACCCACATAATTCTTTTCAAATCAAGTAGCACTAGATTTAGAATCTAGGGTGAGGCTAAGAGGATGTGAGACTGGGCATGAGATAGATTTAGTACGATTCCCAATGACTCCAAGGTTAGGAGCATATACTACTCTTGCAGAGGACCCAAGTTGAGTTCTCAACACCCTAGTAAGGATTGGCTCAGAACCAATTGTAACTTCAGCCACAGGAACTCTGACATTCTTTTGGAATCCATAGGCACCTACACTCACACACGCAAACACACACACATTGTATACAATTTTAAAAATTAATAAAAGAATTAAATTTCTAAGTATGGTAATATGTACCATTTATGACAGTAATCAGGAGAGGCAGGTACATCCCTGTAAGTTTGAGGCCAACCTGGTAGCTACATGCAGACCCTACCAAGCCTACTCAGTGAGATCATGTCTTAAAAAATAATAAAAATTAATCTCCTCCTTACACCATGCTAATATAATGGATAGAATAATTGAGACCTTGTTCAAAAGGGCTAGCTCAGGCTTGTTGAGTCAAATATTACTAAAGAGGTACTTCCTCCCTATTGCAACTTCTTACTCCAAGATAGGATGGAAAAAGAAATCCAATATCTTAATGAGTTTAAGAAAAGAATGTTTAAAAATAAGATAAAGGATTAATACAAAATATTAAATATGATTTTTCTATCAAATATTATAAAACTTTTGTTTAACATAAGGAATTCAAATTTTTTTTCTCTCCTACCTTGTAAGACTTTTATACAAATGTTTTAATCATCCCTTCCCAAATCCAGTAAAAACATTGTTTACACAAATATCCACTACTGTATTTCAGGACTTTGGTGACCTAGAACAGTGACTTTATTCCCCGTTGGAGCAGGATTCAGTTCCCTTCCTCCTTCATTTTCTGTGTAACAATTATTTTAAGATTGGTCAATCAGAGAAGACTGTGAGGTGAGACATCAGCCAATGGGAAAGAGTTAAGAAACAGTCACCATCTGGGTTAGAATTAAAACCAAGTGCACTTCCTTCCCTCAACCCCCCAAAAAAACTGTTAAACATTTTAACATGCTTTAAATTAAAACCTGCACCATCAGTGCTTCATGATAGTAGATGTGTACTTTACAAAAAATTTCTACATTTGGGCCTTAGTTGATACTTGTCTTTTCTTCTCCAGTCTCTTTTATAGATTTTCTCCCTCCAGCTCATGCTCCAGTTGCTCTAGGCTTCTTGCCTAGTGATGTAATTTGACCTTCATCTCTGAGAAGGCTGAGCCTTCCTGAGGTAAGTGGGATGCAGCTGTACATTGGAGTCAGTAACTTTCCTAATGATAGCAAGACATTTCCAAGCCAATTAGCTTCAGTTCTAGGTACTATTCATCATGAAAACCAAGGCCAGCTTCCTTTTATTTATTTATCTATTCATTTATTTATTCATTTATTTATTTATTTATTTATTTATTTATTTATTTATTTATTTATTTATTTATTTATTTTCTCAAGGCAAGGCCCAAGCTGTTCTAGAAATCACTTTATAGACCAGGCTGACTGACCTCAGAGATCTGCCTGCCTCGGCCTCCCAAGTGGTAGGATTGAAGGCATGCACCACCACCACATGGCCAAGGCCAACTTCTTAACAATAGTAGCTGTCTTCTTGTCTCTGGTGTCTGATATCAGATGACACTTGAAATATTAATTCAATGGAATACTCACTGTATTCTCTGGTGACTTTGTTTCCACTCTTGTAGTCATGTTCTTTGGTGTGCCGGATCTTAGTGTTTCAACTGTGAGGAAAATAAATTCCTCATGGAGATCATTAGAACTGATGGTGATAGCTAATATTTACCTGTACATTTCAGATTTGAGTACCATTTTTGTGGGGATCTTAACCACCATACAATGTTTATTAGTTTAGTTTAGATATTGTTTCCTAGAAGATATTATTCCCATATGAGATGGTGCCATTGGTGTACTTTTATTCTATTAATGTAACTCCCTCTGGTGATATATTTCAAAGCTAAGATGAGTAGATAACTGTTCTCAGACCTCATTAACTTTTAACACCCTTAACTCCTTGCTAATGGAGTCGTCTTTTATTAACAGACTACTTCCAACGGCCCTCAAACTGTTTAGTGTATATCACCTTTCTCCAACATGCAGTTTTCCAAATAACTGAACATATGTGCTTCTGGAAAAAATATTTCTTACATATGACTTATATTTCAGAGTATTTTTGTTGGCAGTCTAATTTTCCCAAGGGCTGAGCTATAGTATAGATTAAAAAGTTGATGAGTTCCTTGCTAAAGATTGAGCTGTATTTGTATAGATACAATATGAACATGTTGTATGTTTGAGAATATTTAATGTACCACAGAGAAAATGAAAATTAATGTGAAGATCAAACTTGTAAGAAATACTCATCAGAGATAGTATATAAGCTGGAAACTTATTGGTAAAATCCACAGTTGAATAGCAGGCTAATTGATAGCATCATGTTATGGCCAGCTACATTTTGCCCTGCATGTTTTTGATAGCCAAATCATGACTGAATGACCAAAATTTCTCATTTTTTATAGACGATCTGGTTCTAATTTCAATGCTGGCACTCATAACGATACAGTCATTAAGAAGATTCAGGCATTAAGGAAGAGATTGGTCATATGAACATTGTAGAATCCAGGGCTCAAGTAGTGAATCCTTTTCTTCATTTGTAGACTATACTTACAATATTAACCCAGTCAGGCTTGGTGGATGATACCTTTAATATCTGCAATAGAGTGATAGAGGCATGTGGGTCTCTGTGAGCCTGCCTGGTTTACATAGAGAGTTCCAATGCAGTTAGTGTCACATAGAGAGAGATACTGTCTCAAAAAAAAGTTAGCACATTTCTTTTCTATAGCTTTTTACTGTGAGATTGGAACTAATTTAATATATCATTTCAAACCATACTGGTATTCTACAAGCATGGAAAACATAGAGACATAAATATAAGATCAACAGTTGTCTGTGAAGTTTGGTGACAATTTATTGCAGAGTGTGTGGGAACATTTTGTGGGAAAAAAGTAGTTTCTATTTTTACTATGGTATATATGTGTGCCTAAAATTATCCAAGCATGCAACTGTGCATGTAAAGTAAGTTGTATTATAAGCAAAATGTATCTCAACAAGTCAACGCAAGCCTTTTAAAATAACACATATCTTATTTCCATTACCATGGACCACTGAAATACCAAAGTTGGAAGAAACTATCTAATAGCTCATAGTATTTTCAAATTGCATCTAGGTAATCAGGCTAGAAAATTAAGTACATAAATCTTTATGGTTTATTTAAAATATTAGCCAGATCTACCTTCTTTTCAATAAATAAGCCATTACCTTGTACAGTAGGCACTGTGTTGACTTACTTCATTGAGGCATTTTAGTGATGGATATGAGAGAAGGAGTTGCTATGCACTATCTTTTGAATGAGGCAGACATAAGCTTGCAAGGCATTTGATTCATCCCCCTTCCCCTTTTTGAACGGTTGGTCTTTAGGAAGGTGGGACTTGGTCCTGTCTAACAGGATTGAAGTCTGCTTTCATAGGCCTAGAGGATGAACAACAATGGGAATTCAGCCTTTTTATGTTTGTCTACCCCAACATTACCATGACAGTTGTTGTGTTTCTTCTCTTCTCTCAGAATTACTCTAGGATAGTCATGCTGAGTCATCTTGTCCTGCATGACTTGGACCTGGACTGGTGCAAGGAGAGAAAGAAGAAAGGACTGACAGACATATAGAAAACCTGGGATAGAGTGGGCAAACTGCACTCGGATGGAGCAGCATCAATTATGCAACAATCCTGAAAGTTGGTATGTTTATTATGTAAAGCACAAGCAAGGGTCAGCTAGTCTCAGTAGGAGGTCTATGTAGGGTAGCAGTCTCAGGTTGCTGTCATCCTGAAGGAGGAAGCTGCAATTGCTAGTTTACATTCACTGGTCAACTGTTAAAAACACTCGTTCTTAGACCAGAAAAAGGCTTTGCCATACCTCTGTGAATCAGAGAGAAAGTCTCTGCCAATTCCCATGAGTCTGAGACACTGGCCCTTGTCAGGAATTCACCAAGTCTTTGTACATTCACTCAGGGCTTCCTTTACTTCCCATACTGAGTCATTACATTTGTCCCCTTTGAAGTTCTGTCACTTCAAAATGACAAAAAAATAAATCTTGAATCCAATCTTCAACCTAGGCTCCTCGGGCTGGAGGAGAAGCAGTTTCCTTAATGCCTTCTATGGAGGTATTTATGGCTGTCACAGCTGACTCTGAGTTGATTCTTGTCTTGCTATAGTCCGCTATTTTCTTTTCCCATGACTCTAATGCACCTAACAGAGGTCTGCCTTATGATTACCACTGCCATCTATTCAGACTGAGCAGTCACTTTCCCCCAGGCTCACTACCTACCTGTATATCATTCTAATCCTTCAAAGGTGATAGAGTTCAAGGAGGTGTTAGAAACTGTCTAGTATTATTGCTGTCCCATATGCCACCAGGTATTGGCAATTGATTCAGGTCCAGAATAACATTCTGCAGTCTTTATGTCTATGATTTCTAGTGTCAGTAGAATTAGCTTGGTTTCTGTACATCACTTAATTGCTCCCACCCTCAAAAGAAACAGAGCAAAGCCTTAAACAATGATTCATGTGTGTGAGTGGGTACTGCAGTTTGCAAATAATCTCAAGTTGTAACTAGGCAGAGTTTGAAAGGGAAGGGCAAACACACAGTAGAAAAGGGAATGGTTGAGTTGGGCCCTATCATGGAAAACTACAATTGGTCCTCCCAAGATAGTGTTAAGGAATGACACATTTCTAAGTGTAGACAGGAAAGAGTTCTTATGTGTTGCCTACTACTCAAGATGTATTGAGCATAGTAATCCTAGAGATAGCATTCCTACAATGTGTATACATTGTAGCTATACATGACTTCTGACATCAAAATCCCTATTATATGACCAGAAATTGAAATTGAAGACATTATCAGGCAGGCAAAGACATGGAGTATTTCTCAATGGACATGCTAAGTGTAATGTAAGCCAAGACCACTTGAAAAAGTTTTTTGCAGTTGTGGTCAGAGCAATTATGAGGCCACAGGGATATGAAGTGAAGCGTGAGAACTATCAGACGCAAGATTTAAGATTTGTTTGACTCCACAGGTCTCATACTGGATTATTACATGTAATATTTCCAATGAACCAAGACAAAATTTTGACCCCCGAACTCTTATGTTTCCAAATGTCTCCATTGATATGGATGATTTTAAAACCACAATATTCATAACATCACCAAATGTGTGATAGATTAACAGGGTCCATAGAAAGAAATCCAGGATATTTTCCAAGAATCTTTCTTTAAGCTTCTGTGTGGTGAAATTCAGTATAAAGCAACTTTAAAAATAACCCATAATTAGCACACAGTGAGGGTCACACACATATACTGACACAAAACCCATGCTTTCTAAGGCTTTTATGAGAACATAATTCTTTCCAAACCTTTCACAGCCAGAGTTAATTTATGAGCACTGTTCCCTTAGGCTTTGAGACATGGCCTATGGACCCGAAGAATAACAGGGCAGAACTAATGTTTGTATTTTGGCAAGACTTTATTTATTTATATATATTTTTTTTAGAAATGCTAAATGTGAATCACCCCTTTCAAGCTCAGAGGGATGTAATTAATGAGTGCAGAGAGGATGGAAAAACCTCCCCCAGCACTGGAATCAATAATTTTGGTTTGGAGAAAGAAAATTCTCACATAGCAGGAAAATGCCAGAACGACATGTAAACCAAAGTCACCAGACCTCAGTTCAGTTTTATGCTGATAATTTGAAGAATTTAGCATCTGAACACAAGCCTCCACTGGTGTCATTTCATGAAGTTCTGTGTTCACTTGTTTTTGTGAGCTTTATTGTCTCTGTCTATAAGGAGGGTAGAAATAAAGAGAGCTTTCCCATTTCCTGAGGCGGCAGTCTCTAACACTCAGAAGGCCCTGTGCAAATGTTTGTTGTGGTGTTTTAGTGGCTGCCAGATCAAGCCCTAGATTAACTGTGGTTTGACTTCTTGCCTTCATGTTCATTGTTTTCCCCTCCCTCCATAATTTTCCTGTCTGGTTGACAAGCAGCTTATCCGGGTTATGAGCTATGTGCCCAGCATGGACCCAGTATTTGTTCCTTTCCTATGCAGCTGTCTCCTACAAATGAAGCTGATGATGAACAAACTCAGGAAAAGATGTAAATAACTGATTCTGAGTTTTAAATGTTTGTTTCAGTCCTCCAAAGAGTATTTAGTCACACACACACACACACGCACACACACACACACACACACCCTCACACACATACATATATTCACTCACACACACATTCATGCACACACATTCACACATACATTCACATACATGTTTACACACACTCACATACAGAGTCACACACACTCACACACACATTCCTACATACATTCACACACACACTCAAATACACATTCCCACACACATTCATACACACACACATACACACATACATTCACATGCATATTCACACACACATCCATGCATACACATTCACACATACATTCATATACATGCTCACACACACATTCACACTTAAGATTAGAACTGAAAGAACCCATCAAAGACCAAATAACATCCCATTTTATGAATGGGACACATTGAAGCCCAGAGTTCAAGGGGCTTCCACAGCTCACAGAGGTAATAGCAGGAAACTTTGAACTAATTCTTCAGATTTACTCTCTAGTGGGATTTGATTTGAAGCATCGGGGCGTTGTGGGAGAATGACTTGGAGTGAATACTATCCTCACAAAGGCGAGCACTAAAGCAGCACATTGAAAGGAAATCGTAAAATGTTCAATCCCATAAGAATTTCCAGTAAAGACTCCACATCCGGGTTCTTTCGGGCCAGCACTGTTGATATCTTCACCTGGATAATTCTTTCTTGAGAGGAACTAACTGTTCATGAATACTGGAGTCCTTATCAGCTTCCCTGGACTTTAGTCAGTAGATGACACTAGACATCCCCATAGTAAATAAACAAAACCATCTCTAAAAATTGCAAACTGTCCTCTGAGAACTTACTGACCTAAGCCTGTCCATAGGTCAAGTTCTCTAGGTAAGTAGAGATAGTTACAGTCTGGCAGTCTTTCCCGAACCTGGGTTTTCAGTTCATGTTCTTGAGGAAACACCGTTTAAACACGAATAGTTCAAAAGAGATTTAACCATTTATGTTAAACAAATATTCAATCTGTAGTCAGGCTTTCTTCATCTCTGCTATTTCAACTATTTCTTCTGTCAGGTATACAAGTCATTGTCGATTGATCTCTCTCTTCAGTTTTTAAAGTTTTGTATTTTATATGTTGGATTAGTATTATTCTGTAATATACAGTTAATAAATTTAAATATTTTCATTGAATCTTCTCTAAACCAAAGAAATATAGATTTTTATCTAATACTAACTTCAATCTTACTTTGTAGAATATTTTAATAGTTCAGCTGTTTTTCATGATAAATATGTATATGTTATAACACTAAAGACATTTCAAGAGCAAAGGAGGAAAAGGAAAAAGCCTATGCTGTATGACTTTCTGGGGATACTTTAATAACTATTTGTTCAGTCCATATATGGCAATGGTAGCAGATCAAATACTTCTACTAAAGTCTATCTTTGTTATCCAGTAAGTCTATTCTTGTTACTTACAGGAGTTTTGTGACTCAAAATAAATAGAAACAAAATTTCCTGATACAGCACGGATGATGATGTGAGAAAGTTGCATCCTTGGTGGCCCCTGTTCAACTTGCAGACAGCTCCATCGAAGAGTCTCCTCTTCCCTAGCAATTGCTTACTTCCAACACAATGTCAAGAGAGGATTAATGAAACTTGTCACTGTCTGAGCTTCCTAAATCTTGGAAGTCTCATTAGTTATAAATATCTCTTTTGTCTCTAGGAAGGAACATTTCAATTCAGGGGAAGTAAGTACAAAACTCTAATACTTCCTGTGGGTACTGAACTGTTTTCTATCCATTCTTTGGCAATGTTACCTGAGTATTGTAGAAGTGCTGTCCATGTCTAATTATGTTCCTATACTTATGTCTGAAGACTGGGCAATTGTGCTGGGCCACAGCAATAGTCACTTGTTGTCAGTAGCTTGACTTGGAATTTCTATAGTAACTGCTAAGTCCTGAAATAAAAGAAAATTTTCTCCATTAATAAGGCTATATGCTGGATACAAATACAAAAGTATGAAAGGCATTTTGTCAGGGACATAACATTATTTTAGCAAGATAGCTTATCACTGAAGCCTATGACCTGCCTAGTCAAAAGACATTTCCCTACATGTAGTATCAAGCATGAGTTCCCAACTAGGGAGTGGGCCTTAACTCCAATCAGAAAGTAATTACCTAAACCTATAACAGTCATGTCACTATTGAAATAGTAGGTATGTCTTGTCTACATATTGGTAGTGAAGAATCTGTAACTAAGCAGGGATGTCAACAATACTTCTCTCTAGTAGCTTACATAGTACTTTCTGGCACTGTAAATGTCAGCCAGAGGGAGTGAACATTCAATTTAGTTCCAGTCTGATTTTCTCCACTCCCTGCATCTAGACATGTGGTACCTTCCGCAATAGATGTTGGATCTAGTTCTGGCATGCTACGATAGCAGTAGAAACAACCTGAATATTTTGAAGGACCTGAGGGATATCCCGGCCAATAACTCACAGGGATAACACAGCTGAATAGCTAATCAACAATGTTCTGATTCCTAGAGTACCATTTTCTACTGATGCAGGATATGTTCTTCTATATCTT